GCACAGCTATTCACTATCTTCTGGAATGTTTAGGGATGCGCCAGCTTTCTCCACTTATCTCTAGAGCGTTGCTCTGGAGACGAGAGCACCGATTTCACCCCCCTTCCTCCATTCCAGTCCATCACATTAAGTTGCCTATGGTAGTAAACTTAGAAGTAAGTTAATGACTACTTTCAAATATCATGCTATGCCATAACATTATTTATTTGGTTTTGGTTTCACATGTATCAATTCAGTAATTATGTCATATAAACTGTGATTTATAGGACAAAGGATGAACCCAATTTTTTGTTTTGTTGTTAAACAAACCATGAACTAGAGCAATGTTTAAAACCAACCACAATGTTTTCTTAATGTGCCTTGAATTTAAGGCATGCTACATATCTGCTAATTCTGCAGTAAGACAGCTCGGAAGAAGAGCAGAAAAGGCACATAGCCTTATACCATCTATTTTCATACAACATACTAAATTAAAACATGACTTGATAATTTGTAGCTTACTACTTTGTATGAATTTAACCTATATGCTTAGTTTACGGTTCAGGTTGTTATATACAGAAAATTGGGTTAGTTTAATTTACCAGAGTTACTTAATTATAAGCAAGCACGTCATGCCAGAGTAACCTCTGAATCAAACTGTTCTCTTAAAGAGACTTTCTTTTTTTAATAGTAATTTTAGTAAATATTGTAATTACAACAGTAAAAACTAATACAAACTAAAAAAGAATAAAAAGAAAGAGTAGAAGGTGAAGAAAAGAAGGGAATAAAGGAAAAAAGAGAAATAGAAAAGATAAGAATATAGTAAAGAAAAAGAAAAGAAATATATAAAGAAGTGACTTCCCATCTTTATCACAATAAGTATAAACAAACAATTTTAGTAACTTATCACCTTCTCTTAAAATACAACAAATGATCCCTTCTTTCTATATCCCATCTCTTATCTATAAACAAATCCATGAAGCATCGTTATTTCAGCTCTGATGTCAGCAAAATTAAGGGTTACCAGAGAGAATAACGTATCCATTTTAACCTTGATCAAATA